TGATGTACTTAAACAGTTTATTATTACCTTTTGAGTTTTTGGCTAGCTGTTTTTCAAACTCCTTTTTGGCTTTTCTTGTTACATTTTTACACTTAATTTGGTAGTGTTTATGCTCCTTTTTATTTACCTCACTAGGATTTCATTTCTACTTTTTAAAAGATGTCTTTTTATCTCTCACTGCTTCTTTTACATAGTTATTAAGCCACAGTGGCTTTTAGTTCTTCCACTATGTTTTTTAATTTGGGGTATACATTTAAGTTGGGCCTCTATTATGGTGTCTTTGAAAAGTGTCCATGCAGCTTGCAGGGATTTTACTTTAGTCACTGTGCCTTTTAATTTCTGTTTAACTAACCTCCTCATTTTTGCATAGTTCCCCTTTTTGAAATTAAATGCCACAGTGTTCGGCTGATGAGATGTTCTTCCCACCATAGGAATGTTAAATGTTATTATATTATGGTCACTATTTCCAAGTGGTCCAGTTATATTTACCTCTTGGACCAGATCCTTCATGCCAGTCAGGACTAAATCGAGAATTGCCTATCCCTCACCATGGCTGCCAGGGATTGCAGACCAAGGAATGAAGATTCAACTGAAAGAGTTTGGGGATTACTGCCCTAAACACTACCCAGGAGAAGATGTTAGAGGGACATAATAGCAGTTGTTATAAGGAAGAGAGTGAAAAATTATTCTTCTTAACCTTGGAGGATAGGACAAGAAGTAATGGGTTTAAATTGCAGCAAGGGAGATTTCAGCTGGACATTAGGAAAAAATTCCTAACTGTCAGGATGGATACACACTGGAATAAATTGCTTTAGGAGATTGTGGAATCTCCATCATTGGAGATTTTTGAGAGCAGGTTACACAAACATCTGTCAGGGATTGTCTAGAATGATAGTGCTTGGTCCCTTCCAGTTCTAAGATTCTATATATTTCAAGCTCGCCACAGATATAAATGAAGACATAAGGAAGGAAGTTCTCATCTATACCCTCTCTCCCAATCTTCTAGGACTTGATACAAATGGCCAGAGTCCCTTCTCCCTTGCCAAATGAGGTCAAGTTTTAGTATGAGGGAGCTTCAAGCTGAGTGAGATACTGAGGCTGGAATCCCCACTGAACCAAGACAATATTCAAAACCCAGTGCCTGACTAGCCCACAACTAGAACTAAGGGCCCACAAATCACTTGTGAGTCATTTGCGGTCTTCATTGCAAACCTTCCAAAAGTTGTAACAACAAACGTTGTCTCCCAAGCAGACTTCCTGGATGCCAAAAGGAAGGTGAAAAAAAACCTCCACAAGGCTGTTTTCCAGTTCTGCCATGGGAGAAAAGAGGGGAAGCGTTGCACTTCTCTAAGTGCATTGTGAAGCAGAAAAATGAATGTCAGCCTGGAGTGTCCATTGACAGAGATTTACTAGAAGCCACTTCCTACAAGCTGGTCTGCGTGCAAAATTTTTAAGGTTTTTTAAAATCCTTTTAAAAGCCTTTGTTAATGTTCTATCTATCAAAGTGCTAGAGTGACTCAGTTAGTACAGCTCCTCAATGGAGTGAAAGAGGCACATGGTGCCTCTTGGGTAGTAGCATGGGAAGGGAGGCAAAATCCACAGAGCTGCTACATCCTTCCCATGTACAAATGGGGGGGGCTGTCAATGGGCCCAACCAAGCATCCACTCCTTCCCCAAAGCCTACATATTTATGCCTGGGGAAGTATTCTCCACCAGACCTAGCCCTAAATATTTCCTGGAGTAGCAAGGAAGCAAGAGGAATGATATAACTGAGTCCCAGGCTTCTCCAGGGGTAGCCTTACACCTGGCCCTTAGGCTGTGTCTAGACTGGCCAGTTTTTCCGGAAAATCAGCCGCTTTTCCGGAAAAACTTGCCAGCTGTCTACACTGGCCGCTTGAATTTCCGCAAAAGCACTGACTTCCTACTGTAAGAAATCAGGGTATGTCTACACTACAAAGTTAATTCGAACTAACGGACGTTAGTTCGAATTAACTTTGATAGGCGCTACACTAGTGCTCCTCTAGTTCGAACTTAATTCGAACTAGCGGAGCGCTTAGTTCGAACTAGGTAAACCTCATTGTACGAGGACTAAGCCTAGTTCGAACTTACTAGTTCGAATTAAGAGGTGTGTAGCTCCTTAATTCGAACTAGTGGGAGGCTAGCCCTCCCCAGCTTTCCCTGGTGGCCACTCTGGGCACCACCAGGGAAACTCGTATGTCCCCCTCCCGGCCCCGGACCCCTTAAAGGGGCACGGGCTGGCTATAGTGCCCGTGCCAGGTGCAAGCCTGCCAGCACTCAGCCAGCAGACCCTGCACCTGGCACGGCTCGAGCCCCCC